TAGGGGTCTAAAGTTTAACATAGGCTCCAATGGAAAAAGCTTTGAAAATCTTCTCATTAAGAACTACAGGCCATATTGGATAAATCTTAGAGAATGGATGATCCTTATATGATGAGGATTAAATATAAAAAAAGAAGATGTGGTATGATTGCCACAAGAAACCAAATGCCACAGAAATTAACAAGTATAGGTCACCGTACAGCCTTCAACAATGAGCAAAGCCCATGCCACATAATCAGCTATAAAAGGCTCCGAAATAAGAAATGTAAAACAGTTCAAACGAGAAAACTAACGGCCTAATTTATGTACAAAAAATGAACGAAAAACAAATATGTAACACATCAACAAGCAACAACTACTGAATTACAGGCTCCTGACTTGGGACAGGCACATACATACAGAATGTGGCGGGGTTAAACATGTTAGCGGGAACCTAACCCTCCCCTAAGTTTGTAGAAATAGTTGTCCTCGGGAACATTGGTTTAAAGAACTTGGGGTCTAACGTTTAATACAGGCTTCAATGGGGAGGACGCTGTAAGAATCTCATAAAGAACCAACAGTAGCAATGCAGTTATAATTTGCATCAAGCATCAGTAGGCCATTGTGTACAAATGAAGGTACAGAGGTCCATGGGTCTGAGGACTAGGAGTCCAAAGTTTAACAGTCTTTATTTGGAAAAGCTTAAAATTCATCTTCTTCAGAATCTGCAATGGAAATGCAGTCATATTTTACACGAATATGTACATGCCAAACATAACTAGAGGCTCCAAGAAGCCCGAATCGCTCCCCTGTGCAACTGGGTCTCATTTGACTTGATTATAAAATAAAGTTCTAGTATGTGCAAGTAAATAACTTTAATTAAGCTTGATTGCATTTAGTGTTCATTATTCTCCAAAAAAAGATGAATATCTTTACGCTTCAAACTTTGCCCTCACTGACGACCATTTTTAATTTTCTATCGCCTCAAAAAGTGACAACGCTAATGTTGTCGTAATTATGACATAGCGATCAGCAGCCTGTAATTCGGTGGTTGTCGTTTGTTGCCGTGTAACATATTTGTAGTTGTTTTCATTTTTTGTACATTAATAAAGCCGTTAGTTTTCTCGTTCGAATTAAATTGTTAAACATTTGTCATTTCGGAGCCTTTTATAGCTGACTATGTGGGGGCTTTTCTCATTTTGAAGGCATTATGATGACCTATAGTTGTTAATTTCTGTGTTATATAGTCTCTTGGCAATCATAATACATACTGTTTTATATATATATATATATAGCGATGTCGTTATAACGACATAAGGATGTCGTTATTACGACATAGCGATGTCGTAATTACGACATAGTGATGTCGTTATTATGACATGCTATGTCGAAATTACGACATAGTTATGTCGTTATTACGACATGCTATGTCGTAATTGCGACATAAATATTTTTTTGAATGACCCTTATCGGCTTCCGTAGGGATTCAATTGGATTTCAAGTTAAAATTCAACTATAAAATTGGGGCTCTTTATTTATATTAAAGGGAGTAATCTTTTAATACTTGGATTGTTGAATCTGTTACCATTGTTTTTCAAATCTGTTTCATGCATCCTTAAAATTTATGAATTTAATTTTGTCTGTTTCACACAAAATTACATTTAAATTATGTTAAGCAGACAATTAATTTTGTATCGTTTGTCAAAAACAAATCGAATATATATATGCAGTGATGTCTCGAGTTTCATTGAAAGTAATATTTCCTTGACGTACAAAAACACTTACACCAGGGATAAACATATTAAGTATATACTGGTCAAAACCTGTGGCAATTAAAACATATTTTATAGTTATGTTTTTGTTTGACGAACATAATTGTGTAGTGTTAGTGCACAAAACAGTAATCAAAGATACTAAGGCTTATACGTATATTTAAATTGAGATCCTTTAAAAATAAGATTATTCAAAGGACTAACGAACTTTCCGAGGCTGGGATCGTATCTAAATTTACGGGCTTTATAAACAAAAATACTGTGAAAAAAATAGAATAATACGATTCTACAGGTTCAGCAAAATTTCAAAACGAAAGTTACGAAATCCTTGAATTAATAATTAACCAGTATATACAACGTTCATTTTTAAAAATCAAAAACGTCTCTACAGAACATGCTCAGGTGAAGCTTGATATCAAATTTCAGGAAGCTCTTATTTGTAGTTCATGAGACAATGCGACGAACATCTCATACAGGGTCAAATTGACATGGTGTTACAAGATTAACAGGAAGTTGGTGAGTAATGAATATGAAAGTTAACCACACGGTATAGTATATATATATATATATATATACACGTATAAAAATTGCGGTTTTTATCCAACGCAATCATAGGTTTGAACGTTGTTTTCAATTTAGACTTGTATATATATATATATATGCTCACACGAAGCCTGCCCAGAATTTCAAGAAGTTCTGATTTGCAGTTCCTAAAAACAATTCGACAAAAATGTCATTGGACAGACACACGGACAGCGGTGAACTAGTATACTCCCTCCTTCTGAGCGGTCGCATACTAAGGAATACATAGCAGTAATGTCCATCCCTATGGCTGCATAACAAAATTATATTATTTCCTTTTAAAAATTTCTTAATTATGACAACATATTTTTCTATATTTTTTTTAATGGTATAATTTAATTTAGATAATTATTAAACCAGATAGATTGCTTAGAAATTAATCAAACGTAATGCATTAGTAATATGAAATATTCACGAACGTACATTCAAGAAATCGACCTCAAATAAGTGAACAATATAATATTTTTTGTAGCATGGAAATATGTAATAAAATTGATTTTATTAGCACAAGTTGCACTCCTGGGACTAACTTCTTATTGTACCAGTGCGATTCTAATCAAACCTGTGTATAAACATATCTGAATAATTCAACGATGTTTAATGCAACTTATTCCTGTCCTAAAATAGCATCCTTTGTTCATAACTAAACCATACAATGCAACTGTAAGGGCAAAATGTTCTGGGTTTTTCTGGAATATGGCATGCATGAAAACATAGTATTAAGTGACTACTCTCATCGGAAACTGTTCAAATCAATTAAAAGGCAAATTCTTTAATTCGTGAATTTGGTAAGTACATGTACATGCTAACGTTTATTTCTTTATATTTGTCTAATTTCTAGTAAACAGCAGAGGCAGTGAGATAATATCCCTGCCTATATGCAATGAAAAAGAACGATCATGGTTTATTGTGCTGGACCTATCTGTCAATAACTATTGCTTTGTCATATTATTGTATGAAATAAAAGATTAGGGGTATACGTCTATGAGACACCAAAGCAACGACACAAATAACTAAAAGACATATGATCAGAGATCAACATAGTCATCGACAATAGACAGGTGTATATACCATATGTCAGGCTCTTAATCGCGGGATCTGATGACTAGATATAAATACCACAGTTCAATTCCGTTGGTAATCGAATCTTTTCATTAACATGGAAAAAGACTTCTGATTAAACAACTTGATCGTATCCATTGGGTATCTTGTGGTCAAAACAATTTTCAAAACAGTACATTCTACCTATCCTTACTCAGATGATAAACTTTCAGTGGTATATTTATACTGCTTTTACATTAAAAATAAGTTAACAGAAACCAAAACATGTGACTTGCATCGAATAAGAATACTTTTTCCTTTCTTTTTACCACTAATAAAATATTTTGTTATAACTGAAATAAATTCTCCTGCTAGGTTGATGCCATCATGTAAAATTGCTTACATCCAGAAAATAATCCAAATCAAGGTTAATTGCAATAAATTCAATATCACTTCATATTTATATATATATAGCGTGTTAACATAGATAGTCTGCAAGCATGCAACTGATGCGAGTATTATTTTAAATTCAGATTAAGAAATGGATATGTACTGATCTGTCACAAAAGAGATCCCGAAATGTCAAAGAATTTAGAACGAAGACCACCACGATCACCACCGGAACCACTCCCAAATGCTATTTCTTTCGACTTGGGTGGAAGTCGTGCTTCCCACGAAGATGTATATAATCAATTAGGAACTCATTTAACGTCATTTGGAGACTTTCACATTAAATCTCTTCAGTATTTGGCGATGTCATTTCGATGGGTTATTCTATTGGATAGTAAAACAGCACGTGACAGAATAGCGGGAGGTCAGGTCAATATAAATGGCAGAACAGTCCTGTTGCGTCGCTATGACGATGTAATGTTGTTGGAGTATAAAAAGTATCTAAGAGGCAACGGACTAGTAGATATATTTAAACAGACATGACAGAATCCCTTTTGGATCAAAGAAAGTTAAGATGAAGAACAAAAACGGAACAAAAAAGTGTTAACAATTAATGACGAACTACAAAACGGCTAATCAGATTTGTACAAAATTTTGTGTGCATTTAGAAATCGTCAAGCTGTTGCTTTATATGTAAATCGGACAAGTGATCCACATTACATTTATACTTCTTGAGAAACACGTATGTACAACTAATAAAAGAATAAGTGGAAGAGGTATGTCTTATCCTTATAAGTAGAGAACCCACGTAAAGCGTTGCGAAAAAAAAAACACGCACTATTTGACCTTTTGATTCCGTCCACATTATAATGTTAACTGATATATAATCTTATTGATTGGATCTTTTCGATGATATTGACACATAAGGGAGTCCCCGAAATCGATTTTCTTTTTGCTGTCTAAATCAGGAAAGTTTGAGTTAAGTACGAACCAGTTTTATTTGCGCACAAATCTCCACCATCGTGAACCTAGATCATATATCAGATAAGTAAAACAAACCCCACATGCAGCGCAGCTATCAGCAGGATGTGTCCTTACTTGAACAAGTGAATTTAGCGATACATTGATTTATTTGTTCTGTTGTCTAGCCTAGTTCAGCTTTATCTCTGTAAAAGGATGTCTGATACGATTTATTTACTTATAATAAATGATTCAATACAAAACTACATTTTTTTAATTAAATCATTAAATAGTTATGGAAGAAATGTTTGAAATCTGTCTTTTGAGTTCATATCGTTCTTTTCGTCAGTTTTCATCAGATATCCAGAAAATGATGTAAACTGTAACCCAGACAACACTTGATTCTTTGGTAACACACAATATACCATGTCTCCCTTCTCTAAATAAACTATGGCACTGTTGGATGAACCCATTTCGTATTCTATGTTGCCTGTTTTCCCATCAGCCCATGTTCTGACAATATCCTGCATCGACTGGGTATTCATTTTTCGTTTTACCTGAAAATGAATACGCGCTTAATTAAGCGCTTGTCTAGCGTTTCTTGTCATAGAGTTCTAAATGGTTAACTACTGTACGAGTGATTTGTGAATAATGCGAGTAAAGTGCCTAATAAAATCTAAAATAAAATTTATCCACAAATTATTTTCAACTTGTGAGTATTTAGAGATTAACATATTGTACAGACACCAGTCTATTGCTGGAGACTGTATGTGCTTAGTTCATGAACATGTTGCACTTGATTGTAAAAGAAGTAAAATGTACGGATCCAAATTAATTCAATGAAGTAAGTATTTTGTAAACGACTGACTACTAAAGCCTCAAAAAATGAAAAAAAATGAAAACAATGATATAAATGATGGAAAAATATATTACAAGTCCTAACAACACTCAGACGTCAAAAGTAACCGACTCGACGAACAAATAACGGTGCTAAATTCATTAAATGGACTTTATCACTCCTCACAATTCTCTATAAGAAGACATGGTTCAAAATGTTTTGTTTAACGGGTTGCTGTAACCAGTAAACAATACAAACTTACACGTAAGGTGACTTCAGCAATGAAAGACTTCCTGGTGTGTATATGCATATGGAATTGGTAGAGTCCATTATAAGGTGTTACAAATACACCAACACTTTGACGGTAAGATTTACCATAATTTGCCAGTATTTGATCAAAAACTACTATCTGAAAATAGTGCTAAAATATTATCAGTATAAAGAACCCTAAAAAAGAAAAAAAAACCAAAGAAACAAAAATTGTTTCTAAATTATGTTTCTGCTTTGTTTAGCATGAATGTATGACAACTTCAAGCAAAACATACAGAGAAACAAGACCAAAGTCAACATGAACAGAACAGCTACAAACTTTAAATGATTACTAATAATTATTATCACGAAAATAAAATAAAACATTGCAAAGGGTACTAAACACTGTGTCTCGTATGCGATTGCTGATGTCAGTTTGAAAGTGTTATGTTGACTGCAAAACTAAGTTTGATCAGTAAAATAATGATTCTACAAAAACAAAACAAAAATAGACTTATTTCTTCATTTGTTATATCTTGATCTTGAAGAGGTTCCAGTCCATGTATCATAACATTCCACGAAGATTATAAAAAAGTTATTGAAGTCATTACTTTAAAATCTGTTTAATCCCCGACTGTATGGAAACGTTAACTGCATAAAAATAAATCCTTTTATTAGTAAAATATTATATAGAGAAATGAAAAAAAAACCTAACTTTTGACACCATCGACGATGGACTGTAGGATCGCTATGTCTCGCGTTGGTGACAAAATGTCATAGGCTCGAAAAAAAAGTCACAATAACATATTGTTTTGCATTACTTTTCGTCGATATATGAATAATAAAAAAACGGATTTCGTTAACATGTTTCTATCAATATATCTATATGCAAAAGTATAGCTAAAACAGCAATAGCAATGGTTCTCGGAAATACATGTATTGTCAATATTTTGTCTTAACTAAATTCCTACAAAAATAACAGTTTGGAGATTAAATTTTGCATTCAAAAGACAATAACAGTTTAACTTATATTTATATTACACCACAACTTACCCTATCCTGACCGAATGGTCCATATTGTGTCATAGTCATCACAGCTGAGAATGCAGTAAACACACTGGATTGTTTATGACTAATGGTATGTGTTGTATTAACTATCACATTCCCTGGAGGACCAGGTCTACCAGGGGGACCTACAGAGCCTTGTAGTCCGCTGTCTCCTTTGGGTCCTCGAGGACCAATCTTACCGTCAGGTCCAGGGATTCCTGGTAGACCTTGCGACCCTGGAGAACATTCACATTTTGATTGTGGTTGTGGAAATGGAAGTAAGTCTGAAATAATTTTTTGATATTTCATTTGTTGCAATATAAACTTGTCTTGTTGGGATAAGAAGTACTGTAATAGAAATAACATCATGCATTATATTATTTAAATTCGTCACATTTTTTCGCTTTTTAAAGTATTCTTTGGTCGATTGCTGCCTTTGCAGCTGGTAGAGAGAAACGCAAACTGAGACTCATAACAATTTGAGTGTATATGAAGCAACAAGGGGCAACAAACCAACCTTTATTTGTTGTAGCAAAAGCCCCATGAATATATAGATTTACTGGTCCCTTTGTTTCTAGCTGAGTAATTGGACAAACAGTTTCGTTGGGTGTTGTAACAGTTTTTGTTGGTTGCTTTTGGATTTTTTCTTTAGATATCGGCCCTCCAAACGAAATAATTGATTCCTCCGTAGTTTTAGTGACTGTTTCTTTTGAGTTGTAATCAAAGTCACGCGTCTGTGGTACAAACTCTGAGTTCTGAGACTGACATACTGCTAATGTTACAATAACTGTCACAAAGAATAAGATCGCAGTCATTGATACTACTAACGTCTACAACATAAACAAACGTTTTGCTAATGGTTCTTCATTATATAGACATATAAAAAGAAACAATGTTATAAAACAGGATTGAATTTATTTGAAAAGAAAGTGAAGATATTGGGGGAACATTTTATACACCATACATTTAAATATCAGTGCATAAATGTAATGATTAACAACAACTTTAAACAACTTTAGAGATTCAAAAACTATAATAACACTGTTCAAACCACGTAACAGAATCTTGTTACATAGATTTTGCTGTGCAATACCAGAATAGTGTTTAATAAAGAAACATGTAGACAATAAATATTTGACAAAGTTAAAAAATAAAATCTAAAATAATATTTAAAAACACCTTTCAACAATACATTAAAGAAAGTAAAGAACATATTGTAACACTTACCCCGTTGTACAGACCTTCGTGTTTTTCTTCATGGTGATACTGGGCTTATCAACAGAAGGTAAACTTACTATTGATAGAGAGGCAGATGTTTCGTCTTCCTATCTGGTGTCGATTTTAACAACATATAGATATAGGAAGATGTGGTATGAGTGCCAATGAGACAACTCTCTATCCAAGTCACAATTATAAAAGTAAACCATTATATGCATGAATGTCTGTTAATAGTGAAAAAGAAGACCGGGTGCCCACCTGTCGTGGGTGGTTCGCTCATTGACAAGTAAAACCAAAACATTTACCGGTTTGATTTCTAATTATCTCGACTACTCGATCCACAATAACAAATCGACATGTCATAATTTCGAAAGTTTTATTATCACACTTATGGGATAAGTCTACTCATCAAAACATTTTGCTGCATCAGTTTAAACATTGATTGAATCGGTTGTTATCTTCCTCTGCAATTTGAGCACGTATGATCATATGAAAGTTGTACACTTTTATATTTCAGCATGAATGGAACAAAAATCCAAGAGTTCTTTAGTTGTTACACACATTTAATTCCTTTTATTGCAATACAAATCTTTTAGAACATACAGCATAATAATAATTGTTTCTAACAATTACATCATCATTGAACATGTTGAACTATATTAAAAAAAAGTAGAGCATCATACGAGTGAAGATTATACAGGATCTGTAATAAGGTATTTCACGGGAGAAGAAAGCTGCAAATGGAAACACTAAATAGTCTGGTAAAAAAAACCTTTCGACTTTAACAATATTTTTGAAATCGTAAGACTTTAAGGACCGTACATTTCTATCTTCGTTTAGTGGCTTTAGCTACATTGTATGTCAACTGAAATGAAGTTCATATTTTTTTATTTTTACTATAAATGAAACTAATTCGCCATGTTTTATTTGCTGTTGATTGTGTTTATGTGTACGACTATTTTATTAAAAGAGGAGTCGAGGTTGATGATCTATTTTACTGTCCAATACTTCAGATAAATGCGGTTAACTATTTTTGCGTATCATATCATAAACATATCTCACAAAGGAGCTCAATATCTGCAAAGGGAGATATAAATACAACGATTGGCAAAAATTTCAGACGGAATAATTATAATGTGGCAAATATTTAAAGTAATAATTGTATTCCGGTAAAGGCTTCAATAGTTTTCAAATGTACCAGGCTAATAATTTGATACACCAGACGAGCGTTTCATCTACATGACTCATAAGTGACGCTCAAATCAAAATAGTTCCAACGCCAAACAAGTAGAAAGTTGAAGAGCATTGATAAAACTATATTTTGTGCCATTGAACATCATATATAGATATAAGAAGATGTGGTATGAGTGCCAATGAGACAACTCTCCATCCAAGTCAAAATTTATAAAAGTAAACCATTATAGGTCACAGTACGGTCTTCAACACGGAGCCTTGGCTCATACCGAACAGTAAGCTATAAAGGGCACCAAAAAATTACTAGTGTAAAACCATTCAAACGGGAAAACCAACGGTCTAATCTATATAAAAAAAAAACGAGAAACGAGAAACACTTGTGAACCACATCAACAAACGACAACTACTGAACATCAGATTCCTGACTTAGGACAGGTGCAAACAAATGCAGCGGGTTTAAACGTTTTAATGGTACCAAACCTTCACCCTTTTTCTGAAAGAATAGTGTAACATCACAACATAGAAAGACACACTATAAAATATCACCTGAAATAGCTTAACTCAATCAAAGGACATATTAACACCATTGAACATACACTGAACAAATAAATTTGACCTATGACACAATGTAAATACAAAATAAATAAACTAAGGGAAGAATAATAAAAGTAACAAGTTATATCGGTAAGAAATGTTAAACAATTAAAGAAAAACAATATGCTCGAACAAAAATACCATCCATTTGCAATAACTTTAAACACAGGTAAATGAAAATAATTTTGTTGTTAGGTATACGTGTGCAGTACCAATAGAGAAAGGAAATATTTTTACAAAATAAATAATTTTGAATACAAAATAAATGAACTAAGGGAAGAATAATAAAAGTAACATGTTATATCGGTAAGAAATGTTAAACAATTAAAGAAAAACAATATGCTCGAACAAAAATACCATCCATTTGCAATAACTTTAAACACAGGTAAATGAAAATAATTTTGTTGTTAGGTATACGTGTACAGTACCAATAGAGAAAGGAAATATTTTTACAAAATAAATAATTTTAATGTTCATAGTACGAAGTGAAAATTTATAGTTATACCAAACACTTATCAAAGCTGGTATATAGACCAGATATAAACCTGAATAACATTAAATAACAAAAAAGCAATACAATTAGTATCAACAGGTCAAATAAACAAGAAAGTACGATTTGAGAGTACTCGCAGTTACTGACAGCTAGTTAAAAGCCAAAACAGTTAATAATAAAAAATCATGCATCAGAGACTAAAATCTACTAAAACACATCCCAGGGATTTAGTATTTTAACGTCATGGACAGTCAAAGAAGAAATGACTAGTGCAATGCCAAAAATAAATGTATCGATAGACAGTAGGATAGTTAGGATTTTAACCTCTTTATAGATCTAAACGAACGTGGGTGTGTCTTTATACACCCCACTTGAAAAAAAAATACAAATTTAGTTATGTTTTAATTTGCTGATGACAAAATCGATATTAGTGCCAATGTAAACTATATTCAAAGATCTAATTACATATGCATATTAATTATCCTATCAGGATAATAGTAACAAGTTTCTATGCGCCCTTCTAATAGAACATACAGTTCAATTGGGTCTTATTGTATCTGTTTACATCGGTTTTTGTGAAGTTTAAGCATGAACAAACTTACAACTGTCACGTAGGGATTGACACAATCTTACATAATATTTGGTCGATTGTCGTTCGATTTATGAAATCTATTTTGGTTGTCCATCACAAATACATTCAATTGAACAAGATATTAATGTTCTAACTTTGATAAACTATTATTACTTTTACAATATATAACATCGGACAAGGTCATTTATTTTAATATCTAGCACAGGTAGATAAATTAAAAAATTCTATATAGATCAGCTGACACGGAACTGAAAATTCCCAAAGGATATATTGTCTTATATCCTGCATTATGTGTTCGACGCATGATTTCATAAACACTTTTCATAATTTCAAATGTTGATATTATATTTTTGGATTATTGGTTCATTAACGGTTAAAAGGTATTTTACATACAGGAACATACATATCACTTAGTTTTGAATAGCTATTTAACTACCGTTTCTAAAGATATATGTTAATAGTGCTTAAATATGTCAGCTGAACTGAGTATTTCTGAAATAGAAAAGATTGCCAGGATTATACACACATGTATCGATGAAGATAAACCTAACAAAATCATCAGTACATTATGTATGTTGACAATAAGTCAGCGGAAATCAATAGTGACTTTCAAAATCGATGGAAGGCCTGCATTATATTTTGCATGCTTAAAGGGTAACGCAGATATTATGAAATATTTGTTGGACGAATGTGACCCTGACGTTGAACAAAAAGGGTTATTTAAAATCCGAAATTTGAAAAACGATATTGAAGCTCCACCTTTATGGTGTGCTACTGGTCTTGATAATGGGCTTGATATAATCAAACTTCTGACTGAATATGGTGCAGACGTAAATGGACCTACCAATTCGGATTCGACGCCATTGATATCGGCGTGTATATTGCTAAATATTCCTATAGTCGAATTTCTCGTAGAGCATGGTGCAAACATCAGGAAGACTACAGAAAAAGGATATTCGGGTTTAATGGCAGCCGTAGCTAGCACGGAACTATGTGCATATCTTATTTCTAAAGGAGCAAGTGTTAACGCTTCAAGTATGAATGGATATACGGCCCTACATCATGCTGCACATGATCATAAATTAGAAACCGTTAAGTTATTATGTCGGAATGGAGGATCAATGACCGCTAAAACAAACTATCAAGAAACACCCCTTACAATCGCTGCTCTTAGAGGCAGTTCGTTGGTTATGAAATATTTTCTAGATACTTATGAATTTCCACTCGAAGAAAAATGCGATGCATTTGATTTATTGGGTTGTTTTTTAGTAGACGATGACGTCACACGGTGTGTTTTAATGTGGGAAACAGCATTAAGGTTGCGTTTTGAAGCTGAAAATACCATGACCAATACCGTAAAAAAGGTGACACCTGTATCTTACTTTCAGTATGCAGTTGAAATTACGTCAGTAGAATCTTTACGTGTACTAACTGAACCAAATGATCTTTACATGCAAGCACTACTGAAATATTCCCGGATTTATGGTGAAAATCATCCAGTATCAATCGGAAATATCATTTACCGTGGGGCTCTGTATGGAGATAATGGCTGTTATCAGCGGTGTGTGGAACTATGGAAATACGCTTACACACTTAGGTTCAAACAAGACGATCCTTTAAATGATGACACTATCCAAAGCGCGATAAGTTTAGTTAATATAATTTGTAAATTAGAAA